GAGGCCTATAGATTGGTAAGCTGCAAAATAGTAAAATGTTGGCTTCTGGGTTTAACACCACTTTAAGGGTAGGGGGGGGGGGGGGGGTATCACATTTATCTTAGCTCTTTCTTTTCTCTATGCACGATTTTTAGTTAATGAGAATTAGCTCAGCAATAACACCCTCTGTCTCAATGGGTTATATTTAGGTTGACTCTTTAAGGAAAGAAGAAGAAAATCATTTAACCCAGAATAGACCAGAGAATTGGGAAGCATCTCATGTCAGGTTACAGTCTTGTAGAGAGGTTCCAAAAGCTTTTAACCCTGTCATTGCTGGAAAGTCCAGGCCCGTTTCTACCACCATCAATGTCACAAGAGTGGCACTCTCCAAAGAGCACTTTCTCTCTGTCCTACATTGGTAGTTAAGATATTACAGGATCTCATAAGCTTGCCGCTTAATTATTTCCAAGTTAATTGGGATAATCATCCTGCACTGCTGACAACCCAGTTATAGCATGCTGAATGCTTCAGGAGAGGTGGAAGGCTGGTGAAAAGATGGGAACATTAACCCTTTGCTGGGTGACTGTGTTTGAAGTGTTTTAAGTTACTAAATGAGAAAAACTAGAAAATTCGAGTTGGTGTTTAAAGGCAAGGCATCTGAAATTTAGGGTGCAGGTTGGTGCTTTCATATTGTCAAATAATTTATATAATGTGTATATGGTATTATTGTTTTTTAATATAATATTTTATATAGTATTTATATATAAATAATAATTACATTATAAATAAATATTAATATAACTAATAATTTATAAAGAATTATTGTTTTTCTACAGTGTAGGTGCCCATAGATTATAAGACTACAGTCACATGGCCCAAATCAGTGGATAGTTTGTTTGCGTTCAGAGGCGACTAAATGCTGTCTCAGAGCAACACTCTGTGCTATGGCCACATACAAACTGGCTGATTATCTGCAGCCAAAACTTTGTAGAAACACCGACCCTGGACGCACACTGGCTTGGGTAGAGGCTCTTTTAGCATTTAACCACTCAGATGAGCGGATGCATGAGAACCTTGGAGGCACTGGCCATTTATTTGCATAGAGTATAAATATTACTTGAGTGGAGAAGAGATTGGTTACAATGCACCACATCCAATTTGTTCCACTGTAAACTTACCAACAAAAATTAAAGGGGGGAGAAAAAAACAGACACTCTGGATTTTATTGTTGTGCGCAGACAACAGACTGAAATATTTTGGTACCAATTTTTATTAACAAATCTTAGTTTAAATAAATAAATGTATTGCAGTTAAAACACAAAAAAAACCTATTTCCTGAGAGAAAACTCCCCAATGGCTTAGATATACTGTAGATGGTTATGAGGAAGATCCTCATTAATCTTGTGACTGCCTCTACGCGTTTCACAGGGACAAGGCGTGCTTTTTCAGGAGGACTCCAAGTTTCAATTGTCTAAAACAATAGTTGTACATAATAGTTGTAATATACAACAACATATGACATATATATATAACATATACGTACAGCAAAATATACATAGTCCGTACAATACAATATATGTATAGTCAAAAAGCTCAACAACACTCATTAGAGTAGCAGATTCTGCCTGACAAAGAGGCAAGATTAAACCAGAAATAGTTGGACAGATTGCAAATGTGTCCTATTGTTTAGATAGGGCCATGATGTGTGTAGTAATAATCATAGTTACATAGTTAGTCTGGCTGAAAAAGAAGACAAAAGTCCATCTAGTTCAACCATAAAAAAAAATAAAAAATAAAAAAGTTGTAATCCTATAACTTCCACTGTTGATCCAGTGGACGGCAACAAACCCAGCAAAGCATGATTCAATTTTGTTTCCTGATCCCCTGAGAGGCAATCAGATATTCCCTGGATCAACATTACCTATAAATGTTAGTATCCAGTTATATTCTGTGTATCTAGGAAAGACTCCAGGTCTTTTTTAAAACAAACCACTGAGCTGGCCAGAACCAATTCTTTAGGGAGTCTATTCCACATTTACACAGCTCTTACTGTGAAGAAACCTTTCCGTATTTGGAGATTACATCTCTATCCCTCCAGACGTAAAGAGTGCCCCCTTGTCCTCTGCGATGACCTCAGGGTAAATAACTCTATACCGAGTTCACTATATGAACCACTGATGTATTGGGCAGCACAGTGGCTAAATGGTTAGCACTTCCGCCTGGCAGTACTAGGGTCGTTGGTTTGAATCCCAACCACGGCACCACCTGCCTGGAGTTTGCATGTTCTCCCTGTGCCTGCGTGGGTTTCCTCTGGGTACTCCGGTTTCCTCCCACACTCCAAAGACATGCTGGTAGGTGAATTGGATCCTGTCTAAATTGGCGCTAGTATGTGCATGTATCAATGTGAGTTAGGGACCTTAGGTTGTACACCCCTTGAGGGTTAGGGACTGATGTGAATGTACAATATATATGTAAAGCATTGTGTAAATTGACAGAACTATATAAGTACCTTAAAAAAAATATTTATACATGTTGATCATATCTCCCCTTAATCTCCTCTTCTCAAGAGAGAATAAATTCAGTTCCACTAATCTTTCCTCATGGTTGAGCTCCTCCATGCCTCTTATCAGTTTTGTTGCCCTTCTCTACACTTTCTCCAGTTCCCCAATGTTTTTTTTGTGAATTGGTGCCCAAAACTGAACTGCATATCCCAGATGATGTATTACTAGTGATTTGTACCGCAGCTTGGAATTGCATGCCATTATTAGGCTTGTGATCTACCAGAACTCCCAGATCCTTATCCACCATTGATTCCCCCAGTTGTACCCCCCCAGTATGTATGCTGCATGAATATTCTTAGCCCCCAAGTGCATAACTTTACATTTATCAACATCGAACCTCATTTGCCACATAGTTGCCCAATTACACAGTGCATTGAGGTGAGCTTGTAAGTTGGAGACATCCTGTAAGGACGTTATTCAGCTGCACAGCTTGGTGTCATCTGCACAGACTAAAACATTATTTTTAATCCCAGACCCTATATCGTTTATAAATATATTAAAAAGTAAGGGTTCCAACACTGAACCTTGGGGTACACCACTCACAACCCTAGACCAATCAGAGTATGAATCATTAACCACTACTCTCTGATTACGATCTTTGTTTCAATTCAGCCTTCTTGAACATGCAAAAAATCTATTAATCTGAAAGTTGATTGGAAAGCCATTCTATTACCCTGGTCATTTATATCCAATTATAGAATAAAAAGCTCCCTGGCATCACCAAAAGAAAACATCCTGAATGCAGATGGAAACTTTTATTGAGTCTAAAAAATGATGTGTGTGGCCAGGACTCTGCAGAGAGCCTGTACACACTCAGTGTAATGCTAAGTGCTGTACAGCAGTTTTTACTAATGGAAAAATAAAGCAACTGATACAATCCATTGTTTGAATGGGGCCTGTCAACATGGGGAGCACAAAAACGATGCCCCGCATGCTGTATCTTTTGTGCATTGATCTGTGTAAAATGATGGTAAAACGCAGGCATGTGCCTGGTGAAACTGGCCAGACTGGGAAACAGTCATCGATGCATCGATGAGAAAGGACACCATTGAATATAATGTGATTTCCCTTGTCAAGCAATTCTGTGATTCAAGTTGCATAAGAAATTGCACTAGTGTGAACCAGCACTAAACCTAATATTTGCACCCCAGTGGCTGACTTGTAAATGTACATCTCATCACCATCTAATGTTAATGGCCAGGTAAAAAATACCAACAGATATCAGATTATGGTCTACTTATCATCATTCTTCAGCGTGAACAAATACCCTTAACAGGTCAATCTCAAACTGACTTTATACAATAAAATATGATTGTGCAATCTGTTTATCAAAACTATATATTTAATTACTATCAAAACAGACTACTATATCCAGTTGCGGACCCCCGTGTACTTTTACTGCAGCTGTCACTCGGTGCTGGATCACATACATGTATGTGTTCCAGCATTTCCAGGTAGGTACCACTCGATCTGTGCTGTTATTCGGTACAGCACAAGTCGGTTAGCAGGTTCTAGATGTTTGCCATTGGAAGCCGAGGATATTGCTGATTGAGAAGAGCCATTTATAGTCTGTGCTGGTGGATTAATGCAGTCCGGTACATCTCCTATGAAGGGAAGGACGGGATAAGAGGCTGAATGTTGGAGAAATTTGTTGGTGGAATGTGTCAAAAGGCTATTTTCAAGTAAACAGAGGGTAAGAGTAAGGATTACAGGAGTATAGAAATGGACACATGGTGGAGTGTTTTAAGCACAATTTTACACTAATTTTGTGAGTGTATTTCTTATGGTTGGTGTGAGTGTATCAAGGATAATACACTATGTGCGGTTATATTTCTTTTTCTTGAGGGTGACACTTGGAGAATGAAGGATTAATCATATATGGAGGAAGAATATTAAATAAGAAGATGCTGAGAAAGACTTCTGATTTTGATTTTGAACTTTTGGGGGAGAAAGTACTATTCTGGCATGTAGGGTTTGAATTTCCATTTGTGTATGCACTATTAGGAACACCAGTTTTATTCATTTGCCCCCTAGATGTCAAGCCTGTCCCAGCCAGTGTCATTACTACAGTGACATTGTATAGTAATATCACTGATCACTGTATTATTGTTACTGGGGATGTTAGTGTCAGTTAGTCAGTTCCCACCCAGTGTCCACTGCACAGTCCACCATAAGCTGCTGATCACCGCCATTACTAGTTTAAAAAAATAAATAAATAAAAAAATCCAGTATATACACAATAGCTTGTAGACAGCATAAATTTCACTCGAACCAATCAATATACACTTTTTTGGATTTTTTGGACATGTAGCAGAATACACTTTGGCCTGAATTCATGAAGAAATGTGATTAAAAAACAAAAAAAATAAAATGATTGTATATGTGTTTTTTTCCAAAATTTTCAGTCTTTTTTCATTTATATAGTAAAAAAAAAAAACATCAAATGCCACCAAAAGAAATCTCTATATGTGTGAAAAAAATGATATACCGCATTTTTTCGCTCCATAAGACGCACTTTTTCCCCCTAAAAAAGGGGGGAAAATGTCAGTGCGTCTTATGGAGCGACTATGGAGAGGCCGGTCCGGTATTTCCGCCGCCGCCACCGTGTCAGAATACCGGGCCGGCCGCTCAGCTCTTCTCTGCAGCAGGACCTTACCTGTTCCTCGGTCCAATGCTGTAATGTCTTCCTGCGTCGGCATCTTTAGTGTGGGCACCCAGCTGTGACAGCCAGGTGCCCACTGTGCTGCGCTTTGTGAATGGGCCGGCGTCTTCTGGGACACATGACAGGTCCCAGAAGACGCCGGGCCATTCACAAAGCGCCAGCCGGGTGCCCACACTAAAGGGAGGACAACTCCGTGGAAGTGAGAGCGGGCACCTGTCATATTCAGGTACCCGCTCCCCCTCCCTCCCCAAAGGTCCGCAGTCTCTTAGTCATCCCCTGTACTGTCTACAGTCCCTGGTCATCTCCTGTACTGTCTGCAGTCTCTGGTCATCTCCTGTACTGTCTGCAGTCTCTGGTCATCTCCTGTACTATGTCTGCAGTCTCTGGTCGTCTCCTGTACTGTGTCTGCAGTCTCTGGTCATCTGTACTGTGTCCGCAGTCTCTGGTCATCCCCTGTACTATGTCCGCAGTCTCTGGTCATCCCCTGTACTATATGGGAAATAACAAAGAGAGGGCGCACAGGCCTAGTGCATTACCATAAAAAATGTTTAATAAAAAATAAAGTAGGTGTTGTACTCACAAACGACAATATAGTCAAGGCACATCATAAAAGAACAGCTGGGTCAACACCGCGCTGAGTAACAGTCCGCAATAGGGAGTTTAGACATCCAAAAGGCTGACGCATTTCAAGGACTTGCCTCTTCCTCAGAGCCACTGTGTCCGCAGTCTCTGGTCATCTCCTGTACTATGTCCGCAGTCTCTGGTCATCTGTACTGTGTCCGCAGTCTCTGGTCATCTCCTGTACTATGACCGCAGTCTCTGGTCATCTCCTGTACTATGTCTGCAGTCTATGGTTATCTTCTGTACTGTGTCCGCAGTCTCTGGTCATCTCCTGTACTATATCCGCAGTCTCTGGTCATCTCCTGTACTATATCCGCAGTCTCTGGTCATCTCCTGTACTATGTCCGCAGTCTCTGGTCATCTCCTGTACTGTGTCCGCAGTCTGTGGTCATCTCCTGTACTATGTCCACAGTGTTTGGTCATCTCCTGTACTATGTCCGCAGTCTCTGGTAATTTCCTGTACTGTGTCCGCAGTCTCTGGTCATCTCCTGTACTGTGTCCGCAGTCTCTGGTCATCTCCTGTACTGTGTCCGCAGTCTCTGGTCATCTCCTGTACTGTGTCCGCAGTCTCTGGTCATTTTCTGTACTATGTCTGCAGTCCATTGGTTCAGAATATTTTTTTCTTGTTTTTTCACCTGTAAAACCTAGGCACGTCTCATGGTCAAGTGCATCTTATAGAGCGAAAAATACGGTAAATGTAATTTGTGTATTAAATGTAATTTGTGTATTCAGTCATACTGTCATCAGTGTTGCATGACCACCCAATTGCCAGTTACAGTAGCACAGTGCCAAATAGCATGAAGGGGGTAAAACTTTCCAGAGCTTAAGTGGATATTATATAATTGATAGTAGATCATAAGGAGAGTGTATAATCAAATTGATAGGGTATGGGTTAGGCTGATATTTGCATAGTGCATAAGCATGCATTGTCAGACGATGTAAGGTAGCACTCACCCTCACAAGGCCGCTGACTTTGTCCCAGGTTCTTTCACCACTAGTGTGGTGGCAGCCAGGCAAACAGCAACATTCACTATTCTGGCTCAGTAAACAGTTTAGGGAATACTTTTCTTTTAGTTTATTGCAGATTAACTTGTATGGCACTTAAAGAAGCTGTGGGATACTCCAGAACACTGAACTGTAATATAAGGACACTTCCCACACTGCAGCTACTTCTAGAATGGTCCCTTCAACCAAAGCGCAGGGAATGGACAGCAATGGGACACCACAAGCAATGACCCAGGCCAGACAAGCCTTAGTATTGGAACACCAGGGAGTTAACGGCAGCAACAGTCACCCAGATCCCTCACTCAGGTCTGTACTCACCTCACAACTTCTCCTCCTGGACAAGAACTCCTTTGCCCTAGACTCCAAACTATTTATTCCCCCTCCCAGCCTCCTTCTGGGTACCCTTCTTCGGGATTGTCTGAAACCATATAAATATTCCAGCTGCCTGTTTGACTCTCCCAAACCTCCAGGAAAAAGGACGGAGCAATCAAACCTGCAGCCTTCAGAGCCCAGAGCAGTCTAAAGCAATCAACCGCTGATTACAGGAGAGCCACATGAGCTAAATGTACTTATAGTAAACTAGCAACATATCTAGGAGGGTGCTACATCAGGTCATGTGACAATCACATCTATCTATAAAGAGTAATACTAGGATTTATGGGGGAGGGTGAATGAAAATTCAATGGCATAGACATGTTAGTTAGGGGTAAGACAATAATGGAGGGTAGAATGGGGATAGATGGGGGCAGGGATATAGCAGGTGATAAGAAGGTTCCCATGTTAGAAACAACCACTGGAAATTATAGTACTATTTGTACTACTAAAAGGGATATGCAAAATACAAGAGCAAACTGTGATACTGAATTAAAGTGTTTGTTCACTAATGCCAGACGTCTGGCAAGCTAAATAGGTGAGTTGGAAGCTTTGGTGCATGAAGAGAACTATGATTTAATTGATATTGCTGAATCTTGGCTTCATTCATCACATGACTGGGCCATTAATATTCCTGGCTATGTTCTCTTTCAGAGAGACAGGCTAAAACATACTGTACAGGTGGGGTTGTCTATCTCCATGTGAGACGTGATCTCAAAGCGAGTGTGAAAGAGGATCTGGTTGATGGAGAGTGTGATGAGGCTGAAGCATTATGGGTGGAACTGCACATGGGGGTGTGTACTACAAAGGTAATAGTTGGAGTTTGTTATAGGCCACCAAGTGTTAATGAGGAGGTGGAGACTCAGCTCCTTGCACAGATGGAAAGGGCTGCAAGGGTTGGGACAGTGATAATAATGGGGGATTGTAACTACCCTGATATAAACTGGAGTATTGGCACTGCTGGAACGGTTAAAGGGCAAACATTTATAAACCTATTACAAGACAATTTTATGGTACAGTTTGTAGAGGCATCAACTAGGAATGATGCTCTGCTGGACCTGGTCACCTGGGACCTGTGCTGTGCATCCTGATTGGTCTGGCAGTCTTCTGGGACATGTGAAGTATTCCAGAAGACTGTGGGAGGAAGGGGAGCCGAAGGACGGGGGCAAACTTCCAGCTCAATTCGCTGCTGTGAAGTGAGCCAGAAGTGGGAGTGGGTACCTGTCAAAACCAGGTATCTGCTCCCTCCTGCCCCCCAAAAAGTGCCAAATACGGCAGTGGAAGGGGGGAGGAGACAAACAAGCGGAGCTTCCACTTTTGGGTTGAACTCTGCTTTAATGTTAGCTGCAAACAACAAACACATATGGGGAACAGTGTTACTAAATCCAGGACCCTGCATTCACTATATCCAGTCTACCACAGTACAAAGAACATGGAAATGCAATTATATTAGTAAATATAACCTGCTAAATAAATTTTCTCATCAGCAGTTGGAGCAGTCTTGTGACTTATATCCGTGTCCAGCAGAGCACTGGTTAAAGCTTGTAGGATGAGTTTTCATTCTCCTGTAGGAGGATGCAGGACCCCTGACCTCTGGAGAGTGCTGACTGGCCCTGTGCTGATCACATGCACTCTCCCAAGAGAAGAAAAACCCTATTAAGCAATACACACCAAACTGAGCATGTGCAGCATGACCCGAGCCTCTGTTCTATTAGTAGCTATTTAGGAGTCACTTGAAGAAGGGGAGGATCAGAGAAAAGAGGATCTAACATCCTTTTTACACAATATGGAGGATTAATCCCTTAGGTTCCACAGTGAGTATAACAAGCATGCTTTACTGCATAAACAGACTGATTTTACTGTTGTGGGTTTAGTAACACTTTAAGAAAGCAAATTTTCCAAGGATGAGTGCTGCTCTCCAAGATTTAGATTGAGAGGGATTATTAGCATGGAAGACACAGAACAGTAATGGGAATTCTTCAAAAAGACTATGTGAACACACTGCAAAATATATTTCCATGGGCAATAAGTATAAAAGGCTAAAAATAAAACCTTTGTGGCTTATGTCCAAAGTTAAAAAAGCTATAAATAATAAAAAAACAGCTTTAAAAAAATATATTAAAATGTAGGAACAATATCATCATTTACAAAAAACATAACAGAATATTAAAAAGGAAATGAAGGACGCAAAAATTAAAAATGAACGACTGATTGCAAAAGAAAATAGAAGGGTAGGCCCTTTAAAAAAATAATCTAGGATTGGTGACTGGGAGAAGGCAAATTTATTAAATATCTTCTTTAGCTCTCTGTATACAAAGGAGTATGGGGGAGCTCTTGTCCATAATGGGCATGGTATTGACACAGCCCCAGATGATCCACTATGGCTCCCAATTGATATGGTCCAGAAATATTTAGACAGAATAAAGGTGAATAAAGCACCTGGACCAGATGGCAGGAGCCTAAAAGCCATTGTTTCTAATATTTGGAAACTTTAATGACTGGCATAGTAACCTGGATTGGCATAAGGCCATGTTGGTGCCTATATTTAAAAAAGGATTCAAAGTCATTACCAAGTAACTACAGATGTTAGTTTAGTTATAGTCGGGAAAGACTGGAGAGTTTAATAAAAGATGAGTTCTAATAAAATATTAATATAAGTATCTTTCCTCATAGCTGAGTCTCCTCCTTGCCCTCTTATCATTTTTGTTGCCCTTCTCTGTACTTTCTCCAGTTCCCTGATATCCTTTCTTGTGACAATGGTGACCGAAACTGAACTGCATATTCCAGATGAGTATCTGACAATGATTTTGTACAGGGGTAAAATGATATTCTCGCTCTCTGGAGTCTATACCCTCTCCTAATACAAGAGAGGATTTTGCTTACTTTGGAAATCTCAACATTTGGTGCTATTATTAAGCTTAAGCTTATGATACTTACACATATGTCTATAAATTCTCTACCATTGATTCCCTTCAGTTGTACCCCCCACCCAGTATGTATAGCTCCCAGCCCTACTACCTCTCTTCTCATATTGTCTCTAAATCCTGTTTCTACTCTGTATTCCTTACTTCCTGCTGCTCCTGACTCTTCTTATCTCTTCTGTCTTAGTAGATAGCTTGCCTGTTCTTTCTTTCTATCTCATGCTCGGAATTCTTTTCCAAACTTCCTGTTCTACTGCCTCTTCATCTTTTATACTGCTTAGCAGGGACTCTCTCAACCTCCATCTTTCTTCTGCTTTTTCATACTCATATGGCCCTGATCTCTGGCTCTTACCCCCCTGTCTCTCTTCATCCTACACACCTCTCTTCCTTACTGCCTCTTTCCTGTCCCTAATTCTTTGTTGCATACTGTCTGCTTCAAACCTCCCAATCTTCTCTTCTATACTGCCTCCTCTCTTCCTCCCACTCCTCTTTTCTTTACTGCCTCCTCTCTGCCTCCTTCTTCTCTCTTCAATACTGCCTAGTTCCCAGTCCTCCTACATCTCTCTCTTCCATATTGCCTGCTTTCTGCCTACTACATCTATCTTCCTTACTGCCTCTTTCCCCTTCCTTTCAACGGTTTTGTAAACTCTTTCATATGGGTCTGCTCCTTGTATTTCTCTACCATTTTCTCTACCACAGATCCTGTATTACTTCCAAGCCCAATACTGTTACTTAGGACACCATAATGATGTTTGTGTCATTGGTGTAAACTTCTTTGTGAGTCACGTTACTGGAATGAATGGGGGAATCAGAATTGTTAACTGTCTAGGGGGACCACATACTACTTTGGATTGGTGACTATGAACACATCTGGGATAGGATGGAACATATAGTTGCACTTTGCAGGAGCACTATTTCATGAAGACACGTTAATAACCCAGGTTGGTTGATTCCATGGCTAAAGAGAATTCCCTTCCCTTGGAGCAAGAATTGTTTGATGTGCAATACATAAGGTTTTCCAATCTGATTCTCTGTGCATGGTTTGTAATGTTTGTCTGCAATTGGCACCACAACATTAGCTCCACCATTTTTTAAGAAATCATGAAATTAAAATATATCTATGTTAAATAATAATTATAATAGCAACAGGTTTTGTAAAATTGGGAAAATGGGAATTAATACATTGTCATTAAAGCTAAATTCGAGGTTTTAAAACTTTAACATGTAAATATATTTCTCAATAGCCTCAAAAGGATATAAATTCACTTTTTGTGCACC